GCCCAGGGCTGGAGGCTGGCTAGCTAGGGGTCCCTCTTTTTAGCCCAGCTGGGGATCCCTCAGGGCAACGGGTGTTCCTGGGGCATGGGGAAAAGCTCACAGTGCGGGGGTTGGGGGTGGGGTGGGGGAGAGGTCAGGCAAGGAGTGTAGAAAGACAGCAAATGGATGTACAATTTTCCTCCACTGATCAAAATCCAACACCTCTCCCCACCACTGTGGATGGTACCTGCAAGAGCGGGGCCCAGAGAAGGCAGGGCTGGGAGTCATTTGTTGGGTTTTGTTAGGCGCTGCCTTTGGAAGTGGACCATCCTCCCTCACCCTGCCTAGCCAGCTCTGCTCTCCCCCCCACCCCCGCGTGGTATGCTTAGCTTTTAATACAATCTCCCTTCTCAATGTTATAGATGAAGGAGGAAGAACAGGCAGGTGCCGGTGGCTCATACCTGAAACCCTAGCTACTCAGGAGGCTGAGATCTGAAGATTAAGGCTCAAAGTCAGCCTGGGCAGGAAAGTCTATAAGACTCTTATCTCCAAGTAACAACCAAAAACTCAGAAGTGGAGCTGTGGCTCAAGGGGTAGAGCACCAGCCTTGAATGAAAAGCTAAGGGACAGCACACAGAGAGCGGGGGAGGGAGTGGGTCTCAATAAATTCATTTAACACAGAAAAGACCACTGTATGTCGGTTGTAGGAGCCATTTCCAGGCTGACCACACTGGCTCCAGGACTCAGAAATTCATCTCTCTGGAGATGATCTGCAGGTGTTGGCACAGAGCTGGCCTGCAGGGATTGCACCCATTTGTCATCCTTCCTTCCTCCATCTGCTTCCTGTGCCCTGAGAGCAGCAACCTCATGAAGCTCTACTCTTCTCTGGAATGTTCCAGAAGGTGTTCGTCCACATGGGAACACAGGTTTCTATTTTCAGCAGTCAAGGAAAATCTGGGATCACACACCAACAATAGAATGGACATCTGTGCATTTGCTTCCTGGGCAGTTAGGTCTGAGAGCTCCGCCAGGCCCCCTGGCTGCAGGCTGGTAAGGTGCTGGATCCGGTGCTGGATCCTTGCAGGACGGCTGCGTGTGCCGGGAAGGTGAGGAATGCCCTCTGCGGTCCTGAGCCCAGCCGGGAGCTTCGGGAATGGCTGGTGGCTGGAGAATGTTGGGATGTGGGGTTCCATCCTGGCTGACTTGGGGTAACTGGGAACAGCAGCAGCATGTGACAGAACAGCAGATGGTTTATACAAAAACGCTCACAACCTCATTCGGTGCTTTATTGTTAGGCGCGTGTTCCTACACACAGTTGTAGGCCGCCATACACTGAAACATGGCTCTGACATCCCAAGCATAATTGCATGTGATTTCCAAGCAGCCCATTTCTCTGAAGAGACCCTGGTACGATCGGTAGAGGTACTTGAGTTCCATCTTTGCTGTGGACACGTTAGGAGCGGAACCTGCATTGACTCTCTCTTTGGGATGTGTTGAGGTGACATTTATTCTTGACCGCCACCACAGGTCATAAATAAAAAGTGAGGGGCCGTGCACGGAGTTCCCTTTGTCTCCCTAAGTGGCTGGGGTCTTTCTTCTGTTCCCTTGGCCTCAGAATCACCCACAAGTCTCTCCCGACTACACTGACTGGTAGTTATAATCGTTCTCATCCACGAATTTATTCTGCAATGGCCAAAGGCCTTTCTGTTGGTCTCCCCAGAAAGCACAAAAGGCTCTGTTCCTGCTGTGTTTCTTGCTTTTAGCAATGGACACCCTAAACCTCGCTTGATTTACCTCCGTCTCGATGGATGTTCTCAGTGACCGTGGGGAGGAAGGGGGTGGACGCGTGGTTCATTTGGGAGATGGACGGATGGGCCAGGCTCAGGATATTGCTGGGGTTTCCGTGGAGCTCCTCATGGTAAATGCCCCATTCACAGGCTCTGATGCAATTCACTGTCTGAACGGCTGTGGCCTTCACGCCAGAAGGGCAGACACAGGGCCATGTGGACAGCCCAGGACTGTGTGCAAGTGACATCACACACAGCTGCCCTGGCACCAGGGGCAGTGGCCATGAACCTTCAGTGTCACCGGCCTGCCATCTGACCATTGCCTGACCGGCTCGCTGGAGGCCAGGTGAGCTCTGGCCTCGTGTAATTCAGATCCACGCGCCATTTGCTTCTGTGGAAAGGGCAAAGCGTGCATCTTGGAGTGGACAGGAAGGCAGCGAGGACTCCTTCGACTGTTGCTATTCATCCTATTTGTGGAATCTGGAGCGAATGCTGTGGCTTGAAAGGCAGAGGTGAGATTTGCCTGTGTGTGTGTGTGAGGTGTGTGTGTGGGTGTGAACGCATGAACGTGTGTTGGGGGTTAAGGGAATGTGATGCCATGAATGCATGCGGGCAGAGGGCCAGAACCACGGCCTGAGGAGTTCTGTCTTTATGGACGTTCCCTTCGAAGGTCACACACAATGTCTCCCCAGGGACCCCCTCCTGAAGGGGGTGGACGTTCACTGTCCCCTCACAGTTGGATCACAGGCCATCCCTGCCTCCACCCCCTCCCCTGCTGGCTCTGGGACACCTCCCCGGCGCCATCTTCCTGGATCCAACTCCAGGGGTTGGAAACATTTCGGGTCATGCTTTCTCCAGTCTGGACTCTCATCCCCGAATGGCCAGAGCTCATGGTACTCTGTCTCCCCCGTTCTGAGACGGGCGGGAGCGTTCCCTGGAGAATGTGGCTGCATGGATAGACTCACACTCTCCTCTCCTTCAGTGACTTAGAATCAAGAAGCATCCAGTTGGGGCAGAGAGGCGAGCAGGTAGCACTGGGGTCCATTCGCTTTCAGTGCAGTAAGAGGTATCTGGCCCACCTCAAAGGGGGGCAGAAGTAGAATTAGAAGACTAAAAATAAAGGGAAGAGCATTTCAATGGTTATCAGATGAAGACCCCAGAATCGCCATGCATGCGTGATTATGACGCCGCAGTCTCTTTAGTCCTGGCTTCCCGGTGCAGGGAATCATTCAGGTTCAACCCTCCAAAGTCTCCTGGGAGGCCCTGACTCGATTGTCTCTGCTCCTTTGGGATCAGACTAGCACCTGGCTAATGCTCATGTGGAGATGGTTTTAATAAATACCTGGGGTTTTCATGAAGAGCACACATACATGTATATACACACATACACGCACCGGATTCACAAGCTAATCTTTGGGAAACATTCTGCCACTCACTTCCCAAGGCCAAGTGTCATCTTGAGCACAGGATAGCTGAGCCGTTTCTCTCCAGAAGCTTTCAAGTGGTTGAAAGAAAATCAAAGGAGACCATACAACACTCTTAATGTATATTGGTGTGGGGTCTTCAAGACTGAAGAAGACCCCACAGAGGGAGGTGGACAGTACACCAAGAGACATCCTATCCACAGGGACAACAACACTAATGTACAAGGCTACAAGACCATCAGAGTCTATTCTACAATGCACAGAGAAGTACCCAGTTAGAGCTCATACACAGAAGACAGCTGGGGTCTGTTTTCAGTGCAGTATAGAAAATCAGTCAATGACTGTGTATAAAAAATATATATATGTATATTTGTTATTGTTGTAGTTGTCAAAAGATGGACTGAAATAACACATAAAGCTTTTCTGATAAACTATAAAAAATGAGCCAGCAGTTGGATGTCCATATATCGGGTTGAGGTTACTCACACGTCCTGTGCATACACACTTACTTGGCTGTGACCTTGACACAGAAAGGTACGTATGAACACATTTCTACCATCTTTTTTTTCCCTTCTAAGCTAGGAAAATATCAGAAAGAAGCTCAACTCATTCTTCATGGCTTATGTTCCGTTTCCCTTTTGGAGCCATGTATTTGTATTATAGTCTCCAATGTTGCGGGATCTGAGTGATGGTATTTGATCAGTGGACACTTAACATGTGTTCCTTAAGAATGTTGTTTTCATTCTTCCTTCTTTCCTTTCCTTCCTCCCTCCTTTCCTTTTTTCCTTCCCTCCCTTTCTTTTTCCCTCCCTTTCTTTCTCTCCTTCCCCCCTCCATCTTCTTCTCTCCACTCCCTCTCTGTCTCCTTCGTTCATCCTCTCCCTTCCTCCTTCAGTCTGACTTATTTCCAAGGTGCTAGCTGTTTTACTTATCATTATAAGCAAAGCTCATCTTCGTAGCCAAAGGCAAAAGGCTCATCACAGTTCTATTTTACAATATAGACAGAAAGGTTGGGTGTTGGGGGATTTGAGTTTCACTTAAATACTATACACATTTAGCTTTCCATGAAGTAAGAGCTGGGGAGTGAGATTAATGTAACATTTACTTTCAGGGTGTCTTTACAAAAGGAATTGGTTCTCTTTTCTACCACACAAGTCTCTGCAGGCAGCATCCGCGCCCAGGAGCCTGCAGTGGGAGGGAACACTTGACTTTCGCAGTCCGCAGGTGGACAGTGGGTTCCCAGGATGTCACGTGGCCTGGACTCAGTTGAGCAATGAATAAGCACTGGATGAATTTTCCACGGATGAGCTGGTTGTCTCTGGTGTGGACACATTATACGTTCCTGCAAAACAGAACAACAGCTGAGCCTCGAAGACGCGGCCTTCACGCAGCTCCAAGATGGGGACATGGTAGCGGACCAGGGAGGCCCCTCGGGAGTGCTGGAGAACCAGGGCCGCGGTGTGGCTGTTCTCATGCATGCAGGCAGACCACAACACCCATGGCTTCCCACCACACCAGCAGCCAGAGCTGTGCTCTCCAGGGGGGCGGGAAGAGCTGCAGGGGGGGCAGTCTCGCCACAGGCCACCAGGGGGCAGTCTCTCCACCTGCACCACATGCATGGCCCGGGGACCTTCTGCAGGTATCAGCCTGCCTGGTCCCCTTGCTTGGGGGGAAAAACTGGGAGCTACCTGGGGGCTGAGCTGAAGGCTCCATCAAGGAAGAGGAAGGAGACAATGACAGAGGAGGACAGGTGGGAGGTGGGGGAGGATGTGCAGGTCGGGGACAGTGTAGAAGGGAAGAGGCCCCTGTGGTGCAGGGGGAGGGGGGGGAAAGCCAGAGGTGGGGGGGCAGCCTCGGAGCAGCTACACAGCTTCGGGTGGGCGGGCGGCCGGCAGGCTCTATGCAGAGGGAGAGGAAGAGTGTGCCAGCAGGGAGGGGGTCCCAGTGCCCCCCCTACCATCAGATGCATGAACGGCCACTGCTAACAAGGCTGCCATCAGTGCCCGAGGGGTGGGCCTCTGGGACTGCTGGTGACACAAACCAAAGTTACAGAGGTTACAGGCTGCCCCCCAAGTAGACAAGAGTTGACCTGTACTGGTGAGCCCCACAGAACCATCCAGAAGCAAAGAGATAGGCTCAGGCCTTGATTACCCCCCTCCCCCACAAACAGAGTCCACACCCCACATCTATCTAACTGGAAAACAGTACATTTTATCGACCCTTCCGTATGGCATAATTGTGAGTCTGTGGAATTCTTTTGTGGTGGGTGGTGGTTGTGAGGCTTGAACTTGGGGCCCGGGCGCTGTCCCTAATCTCTTTTGCTCAAGGCCAGTGCTCTACTACTTGAGCCACAGCACCACTTCTGGTTTTCTGGCCTTTTCATGGACTTTCCTACCCAGGCTGGCTTTGAACCATGATCCTCAGATCTCAGCCTCTTGAGTGTGAGCTACCCATACCCAGTGGTGATTCTTTAATACAGTTTTCATGGTTTTTGCTTCAGTGGAAGCGATGGAAGCCAAGTCCAAGGGTCCTAATATCTCCTGGATATTCAGTCCTCTCTCTGACAGCATTCCCATCAATGACTCAGAGAATAAAAACTCATCTTCCAGTTTTATGAGTTGTTTATCAAACAGGATCCGTGAACGCTTATCATCCTGGAGGTTTATGATAACCGATATTCCCCAAGTATTCCAGACCAAGGCTTTTGGATCAAATATTTCTCATGAAATATTTCTTTGTTTTCAATATAGAAATCTAGGTCTGGAATTGTCATAGGTTGAGGTCTATTCAGTTTCAAACAGCTGGGGGAAGGCTGGGTGACGCTCAGAGACTCAGTGGCAGTGTCTGCCGAATGTGCAGGAGGCTGGGGGTGGGGGGAGAGGGAGGATGGGAAACTAAACATCTGGAAGATTTCTTGCGCTTATTTTTCTGTGGTGGATAATGGTAGGTGGCCAGGCTTGCAGTTTACCAGAACAGCTAACGATCTCTCACCAAAGTCATTCATCCTCTGTTTCATATTTCCAAAGTGGACATTTCAGCCAGGAGTATTTCAAATAAGAGTAGCTGGTGTGGGTTGTTGTGCATGCATGCCTATTAATTTCTATCAATACCAGCATGCAAAATAGGCCTTTCCCATGAAAAGAGGGAAAAATGGATAACCAACCCACAGAGTAGAATCCCCTAGGTAGGATTTCCCAAGTATGTTCTTTCCCACATAAACATGACCCTCTCATTCCAATTCAACATCATGCAAACAATAACGGTGCTGTGTTTGAAAAGGCCAGCCATGCAGGCCCATGTGTTCATTCGCAAATGGCCCCGAAGGCTCCTCTTCTTGTAGTTTGCTGTTAGCTACCCACCAAGGGAAGCCAGTCATTACCCAACCTCCTAGTGATGTGTGAAGCGGAGGGGGCAGGAAACATTTGTTCTGATCACCCACAGAATACTCAGAAGACACAACCTACCTGTTTTACCAAAAAGATTGTTAAATCTTCTCGATATTGGAGAACTCATGGAAAACACAGGTGTCGATGAACCTAGGGATGTTGACTAGAAGAGAGATTTTTAAAAAATAAATAAATAAACATGACAAAGTGCATCTGTTCCTGCAGGGCAGTTGGGGCTCTGGGAGGACTGGTTTGCTGCCCTCTTGTAGTTACTTTCCTGCCTGGCAATTCACACTCCCTTAGAGGTTCCGTGATCTTACCATCTGCATTAGAAAAACTTCTCCAAGACATGGGCTTTCCTCTGTTTCTTCCTCCTCTCTCTCTTCTTCCTTATTTTCTTCCTTGCTCCCTTTCCTCCTTTCCTCCTTTCCTTTCCTTTTTTCGTTTCTCACTTCCTCTCTTTCCCTCCTCTTCCCTCCCTCCTCTTCCCCTTCCTTTCTCTCTTCCTCTTTCCTTCCCTTCCCTTCTCTTTGTATTCCCTCCTCCTTCCTCCTTCTTTCCTTCTTTCTCCCCTGCTTTTTGGCACTGTGAATCAAACCCAGGATCTTCACATAGTTAATCGATGCTACAACCCAGCTCAAAGATATTTTTTCCTGTTTGGTAGATTTTTCTAGTATCTTCTGACATATAAAAATAATTTTAGGGCTGGGAAGGTGGCTCAGTGGTAGAGTACTTGCCTTGCATGCATGAGGCCCTGGGTTCAATTCCCCAGCACCACATAAGCAAAAAGAAAAAAAGCTGGAAGTGGCGCTGTAGCTCAAGTGGTAGAGCGCTAGCCTTGAGCTGAAGAGCTGAGGGACAGCGCCCAGGCTCAGAGTTCAAGGCCCCACGACCAGACCCCCCCAAAAAAATTAAAAAATAATAAAATAATAAATTAAAGTGATAAAAAACAATAAAAATATATTCAAAGACAATATTTAGGTTAAAAATGTTTACTTCTCAAATAGTTTTCTCTAATGCCTTGAAGTTCCCTCAGAAGATTCTTACTGGGAGCCTGATATTGACCTTAATTTTATATGATCTCTCATGCTGCTATGCAGCATTCTAGAAGAGAACTCTATGGCTGTGTTTAATAGGCAGCCTGAGGCCACAAGAAGAAAAAAATCAATTGAATAATCAAAGCCCAAATAAGTGGTGGAGGTAGAGGGGCTTGGGTGTAAACCCACCAGTCCCAATGCTACTGTACAAAGTTCATGTAGTTCATTTCATCTTGCAGGTGGAAGCTATGAGGCTGGGAAGCAGAATGTCTCCCCGGGGGTGGGATCACCTTTGAGTGCTGGGAAGACCATCTTGACAGCGAGAACTTGTTCAGCAAAGCCTCCTGCACCTGCAGTGTTTAAAAGAAGCCAATGTAAATTCGGGAGTTCAGCAGGCCACTTGTCCCCTAGCCTTCTGTGGGTACAGGAAGCCATTCTTACCTTCTGATCCCAGAGACAGCCGAAGAGTAAGATGAACAGTCCCTGTGAAGAGGGATGAGAAGAGGTGAATTTTAATCCAATGCAAGTGTCTGGGGAAAGAAGTGGCGTTAGCCTGGTATTGAATGTCGGCACTAACCAGGTATGGCGGCCCCTACTTCCCTGTCTGAGTTCATGGATCAAGTCCAGCACATGGTAATATCAAAGGGGTTGCATGCAGTAGGTCCTAAATGCTAGGAGAGCATTTTCTAGTTCTACTTATGACTGGTATGCCCACTGTTTATACTATTAAATAGGCCTTCAATGTCTGTGCTATTTTCCATTCTTCCCTGCAGGTTGTGATGATGGTCTGGGATGAGTTAACTAACATCTTCCAATGGAGGTGTGCATGTGTGTGTGTGTGTGCATGTGCGTGTGTGTGTGTGTGTGTGTGTGTGTGTGTGTGTGTGTGTGTATCCTGGGGCTATAACTCAGGGCTCTATGCTATCTCTGATCTCTTGTGCTCAAGGCTAGCTCTCTACTACTTGGGCCACAGGCTCTACTTCTGACTTTTTGGTGGTTACTTGGAGATAAGAATCTCACTGACTTTTCTGCCTGGGGTGGCTTCAAACCACAGTCCTCAGATCTCAGCCTCCTTCGTAGCTGGGATTAGAGGTGTGAGCCACTGGCTGGAGGCCTATGTTGTAGGGGCAGTAGATGGCAACCTTAGAACTCAGAGCCACAGTCCCAGTCCTAGACATTGGGGTTTTATAAGTATGCCACAAACACCCAGGAAGCAAAACTCCACCTCCAACCCCCTTATCTCCTTTTGCACTTTATGGGATCCTGCATCCGCTAGGTAGACTTTCACCCATCCTTATCCCCGCTTTGTGGAACAGAGAAGGATTAATGGCTCCCTTTTCTACATGTCAAAAGCTTGTGATCCATTTCTCCCTCCTGGATCTTCTACCTAACTCGCCTCCATTGTCATTAGTGATGAACGACAGAAGAGGAAGCCTTGTGTGCACTCTACTATATGCAGATGGTCTGCGATTCATGAGGCATTCATTCTGTGGGGCCTACGGCGATCATTTCTTCCAGGGATACGAGACAGGTGTACTCACGCACACAGCTTGCAGGGTGCTGATGGAGATCGGCTGAGGCACTGCTTGGCTTAGCAGTGACATTTTTCACTGAAGACTTAATAGGCCATGTGGCAATTATCCTGGGTCCGTAGCAAACCCGAGGCCCTCCTGCCTGCCTCACGAGGGCATGTTTTGAACTCAGTTAATCATGTGTGTGAGAAAAGCACTTGGCCTCCATAGGTGCCCAGGCACGTGTGCTTTCTCTCCCTCATTACTGCTCATTAGGGCTAAGGGTTCCTCTGCACCAAAACCCTTCTCCATTCCCGCTTCTGTTTGTGTTTCCGTCCTGGGTGTGTCCCTTTCCCGGCCACCCTGCGGCACCCGGCTCACCTGGAAGGCATTGAGGAGCGTGAAGACGATGTGGAAGACAGCGCTGCTCCCCTGGAACACGGTGGCGAGCCCGAACCCCCACGTGAGCCCCAGGAGCGGCGTGAGCACCCCGACGCTCTTGCTGATCTGCAGCAAGCTGCTCTTCTCCTGCTTGCTCGGCCTGTCGCCGACGGAGGGCCTGAGGATCTTGGCGATGACCACGACGGTGATGGTCAGGTTGACCACCACGATGGCCAGCGCCGGGATCACGAAGGCCAGCAGCGCCTTGGTGTCCTCCCAGTTGAGCCAGCACGCATTCTTCCTGGTGTACGCGTCCCTGGGCTGCGTGGCCCCCAGCGTGACCGCCGCGATGGCCAGGGGACAGACATAGCCCAGCGAGAAGGCCAAGGCCTTCTGCGTGGACTTACTAGCGTCGTGCAAGATGAACACCAGGCGGTAGAAGAGCATGAGGCCCAGGGTCAGCATCCAGAAGAAGACACTGAGGTAGAAGAAGTGGATGAAGAAGGTGGTGGCCACGCAGGCTGTCTCCTTGAGAGGGGAGTAATAGTCCTGGATGGCAGCGGCCACCATGAACCAGGCGTCGGCCAGGAGGAGGGAGGCCGCGATGTTCACGATGCAGATATGCCGCATGTAGGACGTCCGGTTCTTGGTGACCGACTTCCACACCATGGCCTCCACCACCAGGCAGGCCGCCAGGCTCAGGATGGAGAAGCCCAGCCCGATATAGGAAATGATGTCCAGCAGGATCTTCATCAGAGAGTCGGGGTCCGGGGAGTCGGGGGACATGAGGATGGAGAAGGAGGTGAGGTGGTCACAGTAACACGACACCGTGTCCGCACGGACTTCTTTCACGTAGCACCCGCCGGTGTCCCACCCCCCGGTGTGATTGGCAAGGCTGAAGTTCCAGAAGACACACTGGGGCCTCTCCCTTGAATAGTGGTTGCTCTTAAAAGTCATGGCAATCCCGAACGGCCTGGCCATCTGGCGGCTGACCGTGGTGGTCATCACTAAGCTGCTGGCCGAAGTCCTTCTGGGAAGCTCCGGGGCGAGAATGGCTTTGAGGGTCGGGAAGGCCACGGTGACAATGGACGACTCCGGCTGCAGGTGGCCCAGCTGGCATTCGTCAATGGCCACGTCGCCCCAGAGGTCCGAGTCCGGGAAAACAAACTTCTGTTGGTAGAGTTTCGGGGGGCCTGGTTTCACCAGCATGCTCCTCATTTGCACGTTGGGGTGGGAGAGAGACGGAGGGGTGCTGTCTCCCAACCACAGGGCTTGGGAAAATCTTTCCACCGAATGCAGCAGCTGGGAAGTGTGGTTGCTCTGCTGCTGTTGTAATTCCTGCCAGGAGTGGAAGGTGGACGCGTCCAGGATGACATTCACGGTGGAGAGCAGGTCCTAGAAGTGACACGGCATGAGGTCACACCCACGAGATTCTTTCCACCGCAGCTGGGTGGTGAGAAGCAAAAGGGGGAAGAACAGAGAGGAAAACAGGCATCCTGGGCAGAGAGGGTCTGGGACCTGTCTTCTACCAAGGCTGTCAGAGGAGGGAACCTCAGACAGACAGCAGGGCTGGGCTCAACACTTACTACTAGCAGCCATGAGAACCACGCTCCCACGCCTTGCTAAGGCCAATTCTGCAGGTGGCAGGACTATTCATGATCTTGTTTGGGTTTCTTGTAGATTTCAGGTCTATAAAGGCTGTCTGTTGGAAGACATCTCATCAACAAGTGTGGGAAAGTCTCCAAGATGTTCTCAATCCTTAAGCATTCACTAAGTCTGGGGCATTGAAGAGATCTTTATTTTCTACTAAATGATTTTATTCTCTTTTTTTTTTGGCCAGTGGTGGGGCCTGAACTCTGGGCCTGGGCACTGTCCCTTAGCTCTTCAGCTCAAGGCTAGCGCTCTACCACTTGAGCCACAGCACCACTTCTGGCTTTTTC